ATCAGGAGGACAATTGATAGCGATTGATATTGCATTTAAATTTTTGCAGATCAACAGCTAACCTGGAGAAACGAAAGCCATATTTCTTGTCTGAGAAAAGACCCTGAGATGACAGATGTTCAGCATTGATTAGGGCTTCCAGGACTTTCCAAAAAAGAGGTAAAAGGCTAATAGGCATATAGTTGGATGAGTTGGACAGTTCACCAGAGTTCTTAAAAACTGATGAAAGGTGATGACTTTCAGCAGGTAGGAAAACAGGAGGCAGCGAGGCATTCATTATACTGTTTAGAGAGAACAGGAGCCAGTTCGGAGGCCTACTTCTTAATGACTATTACAAGCATACCATCGGGTGCACATGCTTTGTGGGGGTCTGTTAGAGATGATAGCAGAAGCCATGGAAGGGGTTATATGCATATCACTCAACAGAGACTCAGTTCTAAGTTGCAAGTTAGGCAGGGATACTCCAAATGAATCAACAGTAGAGTTAAAGATGATTCAACACAAAAGCTGAGTATTACCTACCATGTATTCAGTTATGAAAACAGAGTAATATATCCTATTTTTATTACTTCAAAGCTCCCAAGAAAATTAAGCTTCGACATTAAATGACCCATAAGGTGTTGATATGCTGTTAAACAGACAAACCAATATGTATATTGGATCGGAACAAAAGTTCGTTGTGAATTTCAAAGACAATATTTAGGTATTTGTACTTATTCAAATACATAAATGCCATTTTGTCCCACTTTCCTTCGCCATCTTTGAGGCAGCTTTATGATACTCTCGTCCTAGGATTTGGAATCATTCTGGGTAGTGAGTTGGTAAAAATGATTCTTACAGGTTTCCAATGAGTTGAAGTTCTTCGCTATAGGGATGAAAATAAGTGATAATCCGAAAAGGTCAAGAGAGTACATGACATCCCAGCCAAGCTATACCAATTTCTGTAGGATCTGCAAATAAACGTAAGGCCAATTCATGACACGTTTCATCAATTTCTGCCTTTACTCGGTTTAGCTGCGAATAGTATTTGTTTGAATTCAACGTTTGATTATTTGGGAGTGGAGCTCGACATAAACAAAAATGTCACTCTCTATATCTGGTGGGATCCAACCCCATCAAATACACAATTCTTCGGATACAGACCGGCTTTAGGAGTAGTTAACGGTTGGTCATTTCCTTTTCCCTACTACCTTTTCCTCTTGACTTTGTTGTAAGCAATCCATTTTTCATTGTCTTCGATCGTTCTTTTCAAAAATGGATTGATTTGTTGCCTTTGATCAGAGAATTCCAGATAGAAATGCTGACTATTAATTTTTCCCCAATAAATCATAAAATACCCAAACATCGTATAAATTCACCAGATGTTTTCAAATATGTTCATATTCAGCGTTCATATGTGAATTATCTCTGCGATGTTCTACGTCATTGTACCCAGATTATTTTCAATCGACCTTTTGAGTTGGTTATGATCATCGGCTGAAGAACTATCGGTTTCCATATCAAAATTTCCACCTTTAAACTTAGTGAACCACTTCTCAGCTACAGCACCATCTCAATAAATGGTGCATATCTTTGTCTTTTCTTTTTTCGTGCATCCATTTTTTTTCCTTTCCGGAAATAAAAGAACATCAAATGATGGAAATGCATCTTATTTTCCACTGTCTTCACTTTTAATGCAAACATATTAAAAATTCACATGCCAAAAATATGTGCTGCAGTAATCAAGGAGGATATTTTGACGAGAGCAAAATTTAATCATTCTTAATGCATCTTTTTTGTCATAATAAAATTTCTAATAAAAAAATCATGCCTCACTTTTTTAACCATGTATAATAATTTTCTCTTATTTAAAGTACAAAACAACTACTTTTGGGGCCAATTTAAAAATTATTAGAGGTGTCCTCAAACTTTTGACATGTAGTGTACATGTATACACACACGCACACACACACACACACACACACACATATATATATATATATATATATACATACATACATATTTCACTTACGTGTGAATAGAAATGACATGTTCAGGCGCTACCTATTGAAAAATATGAAAGACATTAAGGAATGCACAAATATTTACTACTGCACCCTCTCTTTTATCTTTCTTTTGCTCTATCTCTCCATAAAGAATTTTGATTTGTTTCAATTTTTACGCCTCTATCTACTCGTCTTCCAATTTTGCCTTTCAACTCTTTACGCATTCTCTCTCTCTCTCTCTCTCTCTCTCTCTCCCCCCCCCACTTAGGTTGTTTTTGTTTTTTGTTTTTTATTTTGTCACGTGGTATGATTTTAGCTATCACCTATAAATATGTGTGTTTCTCTTTGCCTCGTTAGCCAAACTTTCCCTGACGATCCATTTAGGTGAAACCTAGGTAGGTTTGTCTGGCTCACTAGGTGTATCTAGGTCTGCTCTACGGTTGTATTGAGCTCTTTTGTTAGTTAGTTGTTACTCGTATCGGGGTTTTTTCTTTGGGCTTCAGACCTTCATCTGTGCGATTTTTTTGTCGGCAGAAGTCCATGTTTGTAGCTCTTTCTTTTTTAAAACCTTTTTTCCATCGAGATTGATTTGATTAGCAAGTCAAAAATTCGAGGTTTTTCAAAACGAGTCTAGTTATCTATATTTATATTTATATATATATATATATATATATATATATATATATATATATATATATATATATATAGAAAAGTGTGTGTATATAAATATATATATATATATATATATAATTATTTATATATTATATGCGCGGTACTTATTAGAAAGCGCTCAATATCAGAGATAGAGCTAACATATTTGGTTGGATTGATGTGAGTTTTTGACCCTGGGTTTCAGACAAACCCTGACGATCGCAAAAGCGTGAAACCCAGGATCAAAAACTCACATCAATCCAACAAATATATATATATATATATATATATATATATATATATGCATGTATAAGGAGAGAGAGAAAGAGAGAGAGTTCCTTTAACTTGTTTTTCATTTCAATTTTTCTTCAGCAGTTTTTTCACCTTCGTGAACTTTTCCTACGCTTTTTGCTTTTCCCAAATCATTTCTTTTTAAAATTACGTAGATTTCTTGTTCAAAAACGTAAATGGTTCCAATTCAGAGCCGAATAAAACACACTAAAAACTCTAATCCTTGGTATAAAAGTGCAACAGTCATACATAGAAACAAGTAGAATAATAGTGTAGATAAAACGACTTTGTTTGAGAACTGAAAAGTGTGGTTATGAAGGCTGCGACTGTACCCATCATTACAGGGGCATTTTGAAGAATTTTGCCAAAAGTGTGGAACAACTGGAAAAATAGAAACCGTCCAGTATTACTAAAATCCGTGTTGTGGAGATGAACACACCTCTCCAGAATATGACTTGGACTCGTCCAAATAGCATATATACTAATGCCGAGAATCGTTAAGAGAGATCTAACCGCTCGCGTAGCTCTTAGGCCGTGTTAGATTCACTGATTTTGGAAAAGAACCCAGACAAGGCTATGTCGAAGAGCAGAATCTCGAATGGAAAGGTAGAAAAACCTGACCCCCGTGTATAAGGGGCCTACGGGGAATTTTTGGCCGAACTTCCGGGATCGGATTTTCCTCATGTAAAAACTGACCTTGTGCCGCATCCTACTTTGTGGGGAGGTGAGGTAAATACCGATCTACCGCTCATTTAGCTCTCAGTGTCGGACACTCTGCTTTCAAGTGGAGAGGAAGCCAGACGAGGCTATGCCAAAGGGCAGAGTCTCGTTTGAGGAGGTAGAAAAACCCGACTCCGTTATTATGGGGTCTATGGGCAATTTTTGCCAGAGCCTATGGGCTCGGATTTTCCTTACACAAAAATTGGTCTTGTGCCGCATCCAGCTTTGTTGGGAGTTTTGGTAAATACCGAGCTAGCCGTACGCTAAGCTTTTAGATCTTGTCAAACTCTCTGCATTTGGGCTGGGAGGAACTCAGACAAGGCTATGCCAAAAGGCAGAGTTTCTTCTCGGATTTGCCCCACATAAAAATCGTCCTTGTGCCACATCCTGCCTTGTGAGGATATTAGTAAATACCGAGCTAGCCGGGAGCGAGCTTTATATCCTTTCTAAAGAATTCACTAAGACTACATCGACTCCAAGCGGTATTATATTTCATGGTTTTATTTTCATTTAATTGAATGAAGACATAACAATCCGCCAAAAAATACGGAGATTTAAGAAAAAGTATAGCAATACTAGAGTGACAAACACGGATAGTACGGTAACAATACGGTGTCTTCAATACAATTTTCTCCTTTCCTTTTCTTTTTAAGTCCACTTAAATTCGTCTCCAGTCCATCTTTGAGTTAATTGTCAGAGTTTTCAAGATTTGTGTCACAGGCTGCCTTTGAATTGGCAAACATAAAATTTTGTCAATTATTTTAGATAATCATAAAAGTAGTCCTTTGACGAAGCTGGCCCCCCCAAAAAGCCGAATGGGTGGTCTCTTGTTGTGAAACACAAAGCGACCCCAACCAGTATCTATATAAGCAGAGAGAGGCAGGAAATCAGTAAGTAGGTAGGCGACCAGCAAACAAGTGACCAGCGGCCAATGAGGAAGGAATCGGCATCAGAGAAGAGTGAAGGACGAGCAGTAAGAAATCAGCAGTCGCCTAGACGGTTAGTGAATGTAAGGGTCCTCTTCCTGTGACCGAAAGTTAGGGAAATAGCAGTTCAGCCGAAGGAAAAAATAGACGGCTAAGTGAGCATTCGTATTGTTGCCAAAGATTCCAAAAAAGTATTTGCCAAAGATTCTTGAAAAGTATTTGTCGTTATTCTTTGTGAATTCGATTAAAAATGATTAATATAAATGGGCCGTTTGTTCCCAAATAATAAATTTTGACTATATATACTGTATTAGCACGCTTCTTTTTTTTTTCTAGATCGATTTTTGTGCACGTTGCCCAGTTAGTATGACTGGCTATAGTAAAGACGGTATTTTCATCTAAGGCTGGTTTAATATTATATTTTGGCTTACGGCCACATCACTTTGAAACACCGGATCCCCTACGATCACCGAAGTTAAGCAAACTTGGGTCTAGTCAGTATCATAGATGGATGACTGCTTGAGAATATCAGGTGCTGTAAGCTAGGATGTGCGGATGGTGTAATGAATAATGGCTCGGAATTGTTAATCAGAGAGCCGAGTTCCAATTTCCGTTGTGTTCATTATATTCACTTACGCACAAATACCCTTGGGAAAAGTAACAATCCACCTCTTCTCCCTAGTTAATTAATAGTTAATTAATAATTAACTAATTATTAATATTAATTATTAATAATAATTATTATAAAATAATAATTATTAATAATAATAATAAAAACAAATAAATAAAACATTAAAAATTATAAAAATAATAATAAAATAATAAAAACAATAAAAATAATAAAAACAAATCAATAAAACAAATAATTATATAATTATTAATTATTAATAATAATTATGATATTAATTAATTATTAATAGTTAATTAATAAGAGTTAATTAATAAGATTTGTATCACTAAACAATCATAATCCCCCCCAAAAATCTTACAATCTAAAAATATTTTCTAGCATTAAATAACCTGCAAAAGGTTGATAAGCCGTAAATAAGGAATGAATCAACGATATTGAATTTGCAACCAAAAGCGTTTTTTCGGTTTATTAAGTAAAAGACAAACGACTTCAGTAACCTTATTAAATAACATATTTTATCATTCTGTCCATAATCAGCTATCATCTTTGATTCAACTTTATAATACTGACCCCCCAATAATGTTTTATCTTTCTCAATAAAATACTGCTTTATGTGCTTTTTGCCGTCTTCTAGAAAACTGAAATTTGCTTTGTTAATGTCCGTAATTAATCCTTGTGAGGAAGATGGTGTTCTCGGAAATATAGCACTACTATGAAGCAGTACTTGTTCGAATCCAGCCTATGCTTTTTTTTATTGGCGTTTAAATCGCAGCTTTATGTTTCTTATGCATCAATATAGAAGGTATACCATTTTGGAAATGTACGTTGATATGGCAATGAAAAGTTATTTTTTGATAAAGTTTGTTTAAACAAAACACCCCCTAATGCCATCCATCTAGAAACCCCAAATGATCTGTCAGTCAATAGTTCCGTACTAGAAAAAATGAAATCTTTTCTGTTAATTCACCCCAAATGTTATAAAGTTACTTATCGCAAATATTAATTCACCCAAGAAATTATAAATTTTAAGTCAAAATTTGTTTAGTTTTGCTTCGCAACAACTCCAACATCCAGAACGAAAAATTACCAAAAATCATTTTGTAAGTACAAATGATATTCGAGGTACATACAAGGAATTTTTTACAATTTAAAAAAAAAAAGAAAAAAAAATTTTTTGGCTTGTTCATCGGGGTGAGGGCGATTATAGACCCCACACTTAGAAATTAGCGCACCCAAGTCGCCCACATTTGACACGATCGTAAAGATCAACTTAACTGAAGTGCATTGGAAAGGCATTTGCTCTGGCAGAATTTGGTGTGAATTTTAGTAAATATAAATTCTTTTTATTTGGGGTTAAATTAATATTTTGGGGTGGGTTAACAGAACAGATACAAAAAAGGCATACACATTTGCTCAGAGTATGAGAAACATTTTGTAATAATAAAATTTTCCAATCTAAAATGCTTTTTTATTTACAAAGCCACAAGTATGAAGCGCCTAGTACAGATCAAACTCACTATTGTTGGTTAACTAGAGTTGCTCTCGAGCGATTACCCTAGGCCAAAGCGCCTACATAGCAAATTCCACTTTATTCCAATATATTGCGATACTCTGTCGCCATTATGTGAGTATTTTGGGCGATACCAAATGAAGACGTTTTTTAAATTTTCGATAAATACTGAATAGATAAATTTCATAGCGTTTGTTTTTTAATATTATCGCCAATAAAACAATTTTACATGTCAAATATACCCAAGATTATTGTTTTAAATATATGCAAAGCAACCCTGAACCTCGAATGAAAGAAGGCTATATTTCTCTAAACTTGAGAAAGAAACAACCACTTGTCGTGTGAATGTTTCAACCTTACACATGAGTGGTTTGTGGGACAGTCACACACCTACATGACATAAACAGTACAAGTTTCAAGGTTTAAAAATACTCAAGTCGTATTCATTTTACTGAATTTGCAACCAAGAGATTTGGGTCACTGCTCTTCATATTGAAAAAATAAATTATAATTTATATGACGCCAATCGTTGTTTCTTCCAATGTAGATACGAAAAGATTATTTTAAATAGCTTACGACATAAGAATTTCTCTGTATTGGTTGACGCCAAAAATAATTGAACTTATTTCTCCAGGTGTAACTTGGAAATAGATACGCATGGACTGAGATAGATGCATACACGACAGTGGTGTAGGTAATGTTTTTGCCGCCCCTCCCCAGAAAGAATACAATACCTTGGAGCTTATATATATATATATATATATATATATATATATATATAGAGAGAGAGAGAGAGAGAGAGAGAGAAAGAGAGAGAGTCAACAACGGAATTATTCATACACCCATAAATTTTTAATATTTTTATTAATTTCTCAGAATCTAATGCCAGCATGATGCCAGTGTTTTCTGTGTTTCTGTCATATGTTATGCTTTTTAAATTCCTTCAAGAACAGATGGCCGCAAGATATCGTTGCGGTTTCTGTTTTGGGGGTGGGATTAAGTGAGTAGTTTGTTAGCCTACTGCAACCCCCCCCCACCACCAACAACAACAACCTGGAGGATCGGTTTTTGAATTCAGAGTTGTCCTTCTCCTAGACCAGTTGCCATCCAAGGCTTATAGAACCAAGTTTGTTCTGCTATTTACCTATAGCTAGGGAAGGAGAAGATGATTCATACTTTTCCCATGTGTAAGTGTTTCTGTTAACATGGTATTTATAACTCCTCGCTGATAAATTATGAAATAAAAGTACTGTAGTATCGCATGCAAAATAGATGGACAAGTATAAATAGAGAACAACTGGTGAACATAGGGTGGCTATGCCTAGAAAACCCGGTTGCTATTCAGGGAGAGCTGTACCTCGACTACTACTACGGAAAGAAATAGCAAAAGATAAAAATGGCGTCGCCGATAGGATCGTTAAATTCGATGGACGACTCAGAACACAAAGAAACATGGATATTTGCAAGAATGAAAAAATTAAGAGACACAAAGACCGACGGGGGAAAAAACGAGATAATAGACTTATTTTTTGCTACCGCTGGGTGCGAAGCTGTGAAGAAACAATATGTTACACGAGCAAATTAAAAAAGAGATGATAAAATGTTACATGGACCAATAAGGGACAGGGTACTGCAGACAGCCATATTTACCTATATCCTGAAAGGACTGCACATAAAAGAAAAAAAACGGTCACTGTTCATAACTATTCCAGTTACTTCGTATCTATCTATCTATCTATCTATCTATCTATCTATCTATATAGATAGATAGATAGATAGATAGATAGATAGATAGATAGATAGATAGATAGATAGATATTTGTGATTTCAGTTGTTATAAAAACAACAGATAATATTCCTGGAATGAATCATTTTCCTCTTAATTTTCACTTGAACGAAAGGAATTCTTTTCTTTCTGCTCTGTTTATCTCCACAACTATGCAAACCCAGATACTTTTTTTAAAATCGATATTATCATTGCAGTGACCAGATATTTTTATTGGGGATTATAATCAACATTGACATATAATCTATTAACGGAGCTTTTGACAATTTCTGTTGACATTACAAAGGGGACACGAACATAAGTAACAAGTTCTATTTAAACAGACCAATGATCAAGTGGCTTAGAAAAGGTCAGTAAACTTAGGAAGTAAATAACGCCACAAAAAATGACCAACACTAAAATGTAACATCTTGTTCTTGAAATGTTTTTATTTAAAGATAAATAATCTTTTACGTTCTTTGTAAACAAGAAATGAATATAAAAACACTATTAGACAGTATTTTTAATTCCCGTTTACTAATTTTAATTTTTTGCCGTTCAAGAAGAAAGTTAAATGACAATCTCCTCAAATGGAACATATGAAATGACATGTTGTATCTTCTTTGAAGTCTGTAGGGATATTATTATTAATAAATAAAAACATAAATATAAATATAAAATAATAATAATAATAATAAATATAAAAAATATTATATTAATAAAATAAATATCAAAAATAAAATGTTATTTGTTTAAACAGCATTAAAACTTTATTTAAAATAAAATAAATAAAAACAAAATTTTAAAAAATCCCAGCATGCAACAAAATACATTTTCTGCCTGAAAACGGATACTTCACGACAAAAAAACGCTGAACTCATTCCCCTCGGTACAGAACCACGAAGGGTAAAGATGTCTATCTCCTCTGCTCGGAACCTTGCTTGTTATAAGACGAAGTGACTTTCTTTCTTTATTACATTTAAAACACATATAAAATAAACGCATATAACTAAATATACCAGTACACAAAATAAATAAAATTATATAATTTTAATTTGCAATTTAACATGCTTTTAGTGCTGTCCTTGTATGTTTTCATTCCTATGAACACGGGGCTATTCCTGCTGATATGAATGGCCCCACAAGTCTTCCGTCTGCTAATCTCGAGTAAACAACTACCACTCTCAACCCTGTAATAATCGTACCCCAACAACCATTAACTTTTGAGAAATATCCACTATCCCTCACTCTTATTCCTCACCCCTTATTTTCATGGAAATAAACTAAATTTTAAACTAATGCTACTCCCACCTTGGATTTTTTTAAATTCCCCACTAATTAATAGCTTTTGAAAATAAATCCCAGCCCCCTTTGTTTACTCCAACCCCACTTTATTCAAGGACCGAGGGTAAACAAAAAGCACATTTTCTTTGGGTAAGACGGAGTATAATATTGAAGCAAATATACATAGTTTCTGTAGATTCCACTTCTTGAGGCAGATCTCGTTGCATTAAATTGGTACATGAGATCAACCTGACACATTTGTGGAACAGATCAATAGAAACTGGAAAATTTGTGCCCTTTACCTACGCGCATATTAATGTTGTATTTTGGAATAAGAGGTGAGCAATAAGAC